CGCGAGCTTGTGCAGGGTGGCCACCTCCAGTTGGGCAAGATTGACTCTGCTGCCAATCTTGCCGACATCTTCACCAAAGCCCTCCCCCACGCCGCCCACTCATCCCTCCTTCGCCTTCTTGGACTCGCTCCCCCTGTTCCCTCGTCTGCCTCCTGATTCAAGCCCTCTAGTCTTATGCATGTTGGAGGGTTGTGTTGTAAAATATATATCTATACAACATGCATGCCTAGATAAGAAGGTGTAGTCATTATAATTATTGGGGGGTTGTTGGTTGGGTTGACCAACCCCACATTTGGGTTGGTCAAAATTGGATTTGGTCCTAGACATTTGGTTGGCACTATTCCAACCAAATGGTCCTTGGTCCTAGGAACCAACCAATCACCAAGCACCACACTTTGTGGTTGCTTGCCTTCCAAGCAATCTCTCTCATTGGTCCACATTGTGCCAATCGGAGAGCACAACACTTTGTGGTTGCTTGCCCTACAAGCAACTTCTCCCATTGGTCCACTTTATGGCCAATAGGAGAGCTTCCCTTCCAACTCTTCCTTGCTCCTTGTTTTGTACAAAAAAGCCTCTTGGCTCCCTACTCAATTCAATCTTTTCTCTTCCAAGCTAGTTCCTTCACTACCGCCCCCTCACCTCGTATGCTGTCTTCACCCCTACCGCCCCCTCACCACATATGCTGTCTTTCACCCCTACCGCCCCCTCACCACGTATGCTGTCGTCCACCCCTACTGCCCCCTCACCACGTATACTGTCTTCCACCCCTACCGGCCCCTCACCTCGTATGCTGTCTTCCAACCCTGCCGCCCCCGCACCACGTATGCTGTCTTCCACCCCTACCACCCCCTCACCGCGTATGCTGCTGTCCACCCCTACCGCCCCCTCACCACGTATACTGTCTTCCACCCCTACCGCCCCCTCACCTCGTATGCTGTCTTCCACCCCTACCGCCCTCTCACCTCGCATGCTGTCTTCCACCCCTACCGCCCCCTCACCACGTATGCTGTCTTCCACCCCTACCGCCCCCTCATCACGTATGCTGTCGTCCACCCCTACTGCCCCTCACCTCGTATGCTATCATCCACCCCTTCCATTCCCTCACCTCTTATGCTGTCTTCCACCCCTACCGCCCCCTCACCACGCATGCTGTCTTCCACCCCTACCGCCCCCTCACCACGCATGCTGTCGTCCACCCCTACCGCCCCCTCACCTCGTATGCTGTCTTCCACCCCTATCGCCCCGCCCCCTCACCTCGTATGATGTCTTCCACCCCTACCGCCCCCTCACCTCGTATGATGTCTTCCACCCCTATTGCCCCCTCACCACGTATGCTGTCATCCACCCCTTCCATTCCCTCACCTCTTATGCTGTCTTCCACCCCTACCGCCCCTCACCACGTATGCTGTCTTCCACCCGTACCGCCCCCTCACCACGTATGCTGTCGTCCACCCCTACCGCCCCCTCACCACGCATGCTGTCTGTTAGCCTACATCATTTCATTGTCTTAGGTACTCGTAAGCACCCCACTAGGGTGTATACACCCAAGTTTGGGGTTGGGTTCCCAAATTGGTTGGGCTCCCAATTATTGGAACCCCGAATAATCCCAACCAAGATTATTGGACCCGCCAATAATCTTGGGTAGGATTATTGGACCCCCAATAAGTTGGCCAACTCAACTTATTGGGGTCACCAATAATCGTGATCCCCTCCCAACCAAACCACCCCCCCTTCCTACTCCTCACCTATGTATACCCACTCCTTACCTATTACAATCATCACTTCAGTTTCTCACATGGTTCCAGAGCTTATGGCTCACGCCTCTCCGTCGTTCGATCCCTAGCCTCCTCGCGCCCAACGCGCCCCTCCCCGCGCCCTTAAGCGCCCCTCTCCGCGCCCTTCAGCGCCCTTCTCTGCGCCTTTAGGCGCCCCTCCCCGCGCCCTTAAGCGCTGCATTTTCGCGTGGCACTCCTGCCGCATTTCGACGCGGCGCTCCTGCCGCATTTCGACGCGGCGCTCGGCTGCATTTCGACGCAACGCAACTGCCCGCAGCGTCCGGTCGTCACCATCCGCGCCAGCCGTCGCCGCCTTTCGCCTACGGCGACTTAAGAGCTGCGCTCCGTGCACCCGTCTTCTTCCTCCTCCCCCTTCCTCCCTCCCCTCCTCCCCTCCCCCTCTCCCCCCCCCCTCTCCTCCTCTCATCCTTCCCCACCAACAGCAGCAGCCGCATCCTTCCTCAACCAACCGCAGCAGCCGCATCAGCAACCGCAACCGCACCCTCCACCGGCCTTCACCTCCTCCCCACTCCCCTCATCAGCCGCAGCAGCCACATTTCCCCCCTCCACCTCCCCCTTCTCCCCTTCCTCCCCCCACCAACAGCAACAGCCGCCTCATCTGCAGCAGCCGCACCATCAGCAGCAGCAGCCGCATTTCCCCCCCTCCCCTCCCTCCACCTTCTCCCCTCTCCACTCATCCCCAGCAGCAACAGCAGCAGCACCCGCAATTGCACCATGACCACCGAAGCACTCGTCGTCGACATCTCCACCATCGACGTCCTCGAGCTCATCGACGACGCCGTCCCTGTCAACTGGGCTACCTTTGCCCAGAGCCTTACCAATGCCCTCAGATCCGCAATCATCAACGACTACTGCCTCCTCGACATTCTCCTTGGCACTGACGCAGGGCAGCCCCCCGAACGTCCAGCTGATGTCTCCCCTGCACCTCCCGCTGTAAGAGATAGAGCTGAAAGGATTGATTAGGTAAGGAGCCCAAGGCTCTATAAGTACATGGCAAGGTGAGAGAGAATGGATGAAGGGGGAATCGGAGGGAATCCCCATTGGGATCTTCGGAATCTCCAATCGGGTAATTGGAGATTGGGAAGATCACAATTGGGTGAGGTTGGGATTTGTGAGTACACCCCAATTCACAAAAACATTCATAACCTAATCTATGATATAAAAGTACAAATACAAAAGTGGGATTTGCAATCTATTTCTAACGCACCCCCATAGACTGCAAACCTGGTCAAGGAGCGCATAGCCCCATGGAACGAAAAAGGCGATGGTGGTCAGCCTTGCCGAGAGCCTTGGTAAAAAGGTCGGCGAGGTTGCAATCTGAGGCGATGTATCGTACCGTCAGCTGGTCACTCTGAACAAGATCTCGGATGAAGAAATGACGAAGTTCGATGTGCTTGGTGCGAGAGTGGAACACAGGATCCTTGGTGAGGTGAATGGCGCTCTGGTTGTCACACCACAGGGTGGGCGACTGCTGGGGGTAGCCTAACTCAGCGAGGAGAAAGGAGAGTCAGCGTGCCTCTTGAGCAGCCATTGTGACAGCGTAGAGCTCGGCCTCGCAGGACGACAGGGAGACTGCAGAGGACCGAGTGGAACGCTAGCTGATGACTCCGCTACCAAGGGTGAAGCAGTACCCTTGGGAGAAGCGTCTGTCATTTTGGTCATCGGCCCATGAGGAGTCTGTGTATCCCTCGAGCTTGACTAGAGAGGTACCACCAACCCTCCTTCCGTCCCCGCAGCCGCAGCAGACTCAGCAGCCGCAGTAGATCCAGCAGGCGCAGCAGTCCCAGCAGCAGCTGCAGCAGTCCCAGCAGCAGCCGCAGCAGCTCCTACAGCAGCCGCAGCAGCTCCTGCAGCAGCTCCTCCAACAACTGCAACAGTCTCAGCAGCAGCCCTCCCCTCCCTCCGCCTGGAGCTCCGGCCTCTCTGCTCCTGCTCCTCTTGCGCGGACCTCCTGGCTTTACCCCATTTCCCTCTCCTGGCTTCATCAACCATGTTAGCCACGTATGCTGTCGTCCACCCTTACCGCCCCCTCACCACGTATGCTGTCTTCCACCCCTACCGCCCCCTCACCACGTATGCTGTCGTCCACCCCTACTACCCCCTCACCTCGCATACTGTCATCCACCCCTTCCATTCGCTCACCTCTTATGCTGTCTTCCACCCCTACCGCCCCTCACCACGTATGTTGTCTTCCACCCCTACCGCCCCCTCACCACGTATGCTGTCTTCCACCCCTACCACCCCCTCACCACGTATGTTGTCATCCACCCCTACCGCCCCCTCACCTCGTATGCTGTCTTCCACCCCTACCGCCCCCTCACCACGTATGCTGTCGTCCACCCCTACTACCCCCTCACCTCGCATACTGTCATCCACCCCTTCCATTCGCTCACCTCTTATGCTGTCTTCCACCCCTACCGCCCCTCACCACGTATGTTGTCTTCCACCCCTACCGCCCCCTCACCACGTATGCTGTCTTCCACCCCTACCACCCCCTCACCACGTATGTTGTCATCCACCCCTACCGCCCCCTCACCTCGTATGCTGTCTTCCACCCCTACCGCCCCCTCACCACGTATGCTGTCTTCCACCCCTACCGCCCCTCACCACGTATGCTGTCGTCCACCCTTACCGCCCCCTCACCACGTATGCTGTCTTCCACCCCTACCGCCCCCTCACCACGTAATGTCCTAGCCTCTCCACCCCTCTCTTGTTCTCCTTCCTACATGTCTGACCTAACCCTTGACATGCTCCATCATTTTGTAGACCTCCGTTGTTTTCCCTTCTTTCTCTCTGCATGGGACAACTAACCCCGTGCTCCCCTTACGTTACGTCTCCTCCTCCAGCATTTCACTTCATTTGATTTCGCTTTCATTTGATTTCAATTCATTGGATTTCGCTTCATTTGATTTCGCTCCATTTGATTCCGCTTTCATTCAATTTCGCTTCTCTTGATTTCGCTTCATTTGATTTCATTTCGTTTGATTTCACTTTCCTTTGATTTCGCTTCATTTGATTTCGCCCCATTGGTTTCGCCCCATTTGGTTTCACCCCATTTGATTTCGGCCCATTTGATTTCCCTTCATTTGATTTCACCCCATTTGATTTCGCTTTCATTTGATTTCGCTTCATTTGATTTCGCTTCATTTGATTTCGCTTCATATTTGTGGGGCGTTGGAAACGTTCCCTCCCATCCCATGGCAGCTACTTGGATGACGTCAGCAAGACTCTCAACCTTTCGGCCAATGTGAAAGAGGATTTCGCTCAGATGGCATGGTGGGTGTGTGGCTCAGATGGCATGGTGGGTGTGTGGCTCAAATTGTTGTAAAATATATATCTATACAACATGCATGCCTAGATTAGGAGGTGTAGTCATTATAATTATTGGGGGGTTGTTGGTTGGGTTGACCAACCCCACATTTGGGTTGGTCAAGATTGGATTTGGTCCTAAACATTTGGTTGGCACTATTCCAACCAAATGGTCCTTGGTCCTAGGAACCAACCAATCATCAAGCACCACACTTTGTGGTTGCTTGTCTTCCAAGCAATCTCTCTCATTGGTCCACATTGTGGCCAATCGGAGAGCACCACACTTTGTGGTTGCTTGCCCTACAAGCAACCTCTCCCATTGGTCCACTTTATGGCCAATAGGAGAGCTTCCCTTCCAACTCTTCCTTGCTCCTTGTTTTGTACAAAAGAGCCTCTTGGCTCCCTACTCAATTCAATCTTTTCTCTTCCAAGCTAGTTCCTTCATGGTATTCAGAGCCACAATGGCTCACGCCACCTCCAATCGATCCTAACTAGCACGGCCCTATGCCGTCCCTCCTCGTCATCGAAGCCTAGCCCTTCCTAGGCTACTTCGCGCGCCGTCCGTGCGCCCTCTCCCGACGCGGTCTCCCATCGCGCACGCTCTCTCTCCCGTCGCGCGCCTGCTATCGTGCCCGCTCTCCCTTCCGTTGCGCACCTCCCCTCGCGTCTTTCGACGCCCTTTTCCTCGCGCGGTTCGTCGCCGCGTCCTCCCGTCGTGCGCCCTCCGCCACCGCGCGCACCCGTTCGTCGCGCTCTCACACTAAGCGCCTGTTCGTCGCGGCACCCGCGTGCACCCGCCGACGAATCCGTCCATCGCGAACATGCTCGCCGCCGTAGCCGCCGCCGATTCCGCCGTTACTTTCGGCTGTCCGTCGCCGATTTCCCCGCCGTCGCGTGCGGCTGTCCGTCGTCGCTTCCGCCGACCGCGCGCGGCCATCCGTCGCCGCATCCCCCCTTGGAGCCCCCACCTCCCACCTTGGTGCCGATTCCAGCTTCTCTATTCCCTGTCGCCACACCTCTACCCTCCCCTGTCCCCTCTTCCCCTCAGGTACCGTTACTGGTTTACACATCCCCTCCCTCCGTACTAACCTCCTCTCCCAGCGATCCCTGCAACAGGCTGGTATCACCACCCTCTTCCTAGGTCGCACTAATCACTGCCTCCTATACCATCCCACAGGTCGCCTCCTCTCCCGTATTCCCTTTTGTCCTCGCTCCCGCCTATATACCCTTCGAGTTCCTCGTCTTCCCTCTGCCCAGGCAGTCTCCCGCTCCCTCCCCCCACCTCACATCCCTCCCCCTCCTCTCCCTCCTTCTAACCCAACCATTCCCCCCTCCCCCCTGACCCAACCTGCTCCTGTCGATCCCTCTCCCATCCCACCGTCCTCCTCCACCACAGGCTTGGTCACCCCAACTTTGCCACCCTCCGCTCGACCCTCTCCTCAGATCTCCTTCGAGGTCTTCCCCTCACCCTCCCTCCCCTCCCTCCCTCCCCTCCCTCCCTCCCTTGCCCCACCCTGCTCCGTCTTTGTCCAGAGCAAGCTCAAGCAGCTGCCGCATCGGAGTTCCCCCTCCGCTGCTGCTCAGCCGCTTGATCTTGTTCACATGGACCTCTGGGGCCCCAACCCCTCCCCTTCCCGCCAAGGCCATCGCTACATGCTTGTTCTGGTCGATGATCACAGCCGATATTCGTCCGTCTCCCTTCTTCGCTCGAAGGGTGACGCTCCGGCTGCGATCATCGCCTGGCTCAAGCAGGCGAGCACCCACTTTGGCCACCCTGTGCGCCGCCTTCACACTGATGGCGATGGCGAATTCCTTAATCGTCAGGTAGCCTCCTATTGTGAGCTCCATGGCATTCGCCAGACTCACACCCTCCCCCACTCCCCCCAGCAGAATGGTGTGGCCGAGAGCCGTGTTTGGGAGATCACCAAGATTGCTCGGTGTCTCCTCGTCCATGCCCCTTGCCCCCCTTCTCTGTGGGGCTATGCCCTCCTTCACGCCACCCTCCTTACTAACCTGTACCCCCACCCTATCCTTCCCTCCACCACTCCCACCGAGCTCTGGACGTCGGCAAAGCCTGACGTCTCCTCCCTCCGTGTGTGGGGCTCCAGGGCGTATGTCCTCATTCACCCTGCGGACCGCCCCCGCACCATGGGAAAGCTCGCCTCCCGTACCCCCCCCTGCATCTTCCTTGGTCATAATCCCTCCTCCCCGGACTACCTCTTCCTTCACCCCCCCTCAGCTCGTTTCCTCCGCAGTCGGGATGTAGTCTTTGATGAGTCCACACCCTACTATTCCACTCCTCCCCCCACTGACCCTCTCGCCCCTGCTCCCAGGCCCCTCACCTGGTCCGACACTATCCCACCCCCTCTTCTCCCTCCCCCTCCCATCCTCCCCCCGCTCCACCTCCTCCATTCCCCGCTGCCTCGGTCCCTAGTGCTCCCCCCTCCTCTGGTGACATATTTGACCCTGACCCTTTTTTCCCCCCCGCCTCCCCGTCCCACTCCTCCCCCTCCGCTCCCTCCCATCCTCCCCCCTCCCCTCCTCCCCCTCTCCCCCGCGACCCCCTCCCCCCCTGCGTCCCACCCGCTCCATCCTCACCCGGTATCCCCACACCAGGTCGCGTGACGCAGTCCTAGGTGCCCCGCCTCCTGTTATCCTCTCTTCCTCTACCTTGCCTCCTCTCTCCCCTCTCATGGACCTCCTTTTTCAGACAGTCTTACAACAAAACACTAGCCCAACCCTGCCGTCGAGCTCCAGTACAGCAGTCCCAGCAGCAGCAGCAACAGCTGCAGCAGCAGTTCCACCCACCGCAGCAGCACCAGCAGCAGCAGCCGTCGCTCCTTCCTCGCCTTCACCCGCAGCAGCAGCAGCGACGGCAGCAGATGCAGCAGCAGATGCATCCTCAGCAGCAGCAGCCGCAGCAGTTGCAGTCCTCCCATTCATTTTCCACTCCTCCCTCCTCGAGGACTCCCATGAGGAGTTCCTCAACCTCCACCTACGTGATCCAGCCCTCCTACCCATCTCCCCTGACCTCAGCGGCACACCAGTCTTCGCCTTCTCCTCCGCCCCCACCATCTTCGTCCCCGCCACGTACGAGGAGGCCATGGCGTGCCCTGACGCTCACCTCTGGCTTGCGGCCATCCTCAAGGAGTTGGAGGCGTTTATTGCCAACTCCTCCTTTGTGGATGTGCCCCGCCCTCCCTCTACCACGAACGTGGTCAAAGGGAAGTGGGTGTTTCGAGTGAAGCAGCTTCCTGGCGAGCCGCCGGTCTACAAGGCCCGATACGTCGCCAAGGGCTTCACAAGCGCTACGCTGTCGGCTTCTTCGACACCTTCTCTCCCACCGCCAAGCCCGCTACCATTCGCGCAGTCCTCGACCTCGCCGCTCGCCTCAACATGGAGATTCACTCCATGGACGTCTCCAACGCATTCCTCCAAGGGGTCTTGCGCGAGCTCATTTACATGGAGCGTCCTGCAGGCTTCCACCTCCCCTTTCCTTCCGACTCTGTCTGGCAAGCTGCGTCGGCCGGTCTATGAGCTCAAGCAGGCACCAAGGGAGTGGCATGCCAAGCTTGCTGCCACCCTCGCCGAGCTTGGCTTCAGCACCTCCCGCGCCGACCCCAGTCTCTTCCTTCGCACCTCCCCCTCCCCTTCTACATCCTCGTCTATCTCGACGATATGATCCTTATCACTGCCGACTCCGCCGAGCTCGAGCGCGTCAAGCGTGAGCGGCTCAAGTGTAAGGATCTAGGGGAGCTGCAGCACTATCTCGGCATGGAGATTACCCGCGACCGTGCTGCTCGCACCATCTCCCTCTCCCAGGGCCACTACCTGCAGCAGGTCGTGGAGCGGTTCGACATGGCTCGAGGCACCCCTCAGGTCACCCCTCTTCCTGTTGGGCACCACCTAACTCCCCTCACCTCCCCCTCCTCCTCCTCTCACCCCTACGCTGAGCTCATCGGCTCTCTCATGTATGCCATGGTCTCCACCCGCCCTACCCTGGCATACCCCATCAGTGTTTTGGCCCGCTTCGTTGGTACCGGCAAGCATGATGCCGCCCACTTGCAAGTGGCCAAGCGGGTCCTCCGCTACCTTCGGGGGACCAAGGACTACGTCCTTACCTTTGGCGGCCCCTCCCCTCCCCTCCTCACTGGCTACTCTGATTCCTCCTGGGCTGACTCTAGGCCTGACCGCCGCTCCTCTCAGGGCTATGGCTTCTCTCTTGGCAGCGGCCTCATCAGCTGGCGCTCCACCTGCTCCTCCTCCATTGCCCTCTCCTCTTGCGAAGCAGAGCTGTATGCCGCTACCATGGCTGCGCAGGAGGCCCGCTGGCTTTCCTTCCTTCTTGAGGAGCTTGGTGCTCCTCAGCGCTGTCCCACCATCTGGTGCGACAACGCCATCACCATCCACCTCACGAAGGATGCTGTGTTCCACGGGCGCTCCAAGCACATTGAGCTTCGCCACTACTTCATTCGCGAGCTTGTGCAGGGTGGCCACCTCCAGTTGGGCAAGATTGACTCTGCTGCCAATCTTGCCGACATCTTCACCAAAGCCCTCCCCCACGCCGCCCACTCATCCCTCCTTCGCCTTCTTGGACTCGCTCCCCCTGTTCCCTCGTCTGCCTCCTGATTCAAGCCCTCTAGTCTTATGCATGTTGGAGGGTTGTGTTGTAAAATATATATCTATACAACATGCATGCCTAGATAAGAAGGTGTAGTCATTATAATTATTGGGGGGTTGTTGGTTGGGTTGACCAACCCCACATTTGGGTTGGTCAAAATTGGATTTGGTCCTAGACATTTGGTTGGCACTATTCCAACCAAATGGTCCTTGGTCCTAGGAACCAACCAATCACCAAGCACCACACTTTGTGGTTGCTTGCCTTCCAAGCAATCTCTCTCATTGGTCCACATTGTGCCAATCGGAGAGCACAACACTTTGTGGTTGCTTGCCCTACAAGCAACTTCTCCCATTGGTCCACTTTATGGCCAATAGGAGAGCTTCCCTTCCAACTCTTCCTTGCTCCTTGTTTTGTACAAAAAAGCCTCTTGGCTCCCTACTCAATTCAATCTTTTCTCTTCCAAGCTAGTTCCTTCACTACCGCCCCCTCACCTCGTATGCTGTCTTCACCCCTACCGCCCCCTCACCACATATGCTGTCTTTCACCCCTACCGCCCCCTCACCACGTATGCTGTCGTCCACCCCTACTGCCCCCTCACCACGTATACTGTCTTCCACCCCTACCGGCCCCTCACCTCGTATGCTGTCTTCCAACCCTGCCGCCCCCGCACCACGTATGCTGTCTTCCACCCCTACCACCCCCTCACCGCGTATGCTGCTGTCCACCCCTACCGCCCCCTCACCACGTATACTGTCTTCCACCCCTACCGCCCCCTCACCTCGTATGCTGTCTTCCACCCCTACCGCCCTCTCACCTCGCATGCTGTCTTCCACCCCTACCGCCCCCTCACCACGTATGCTGTCTTCCACCCCTACCGCCCCCTCATCACGTATGCTGTCGTCCACCCCTACTGCCCCTCACCTCGTATGCTATCATCCACCCCTTCCATTCCCTCACCTCTTATGCTGTCTTCCACCCCTACCGCCCCCTCACCACGCATGCTGTCTTCCACCCCTACCGCCCCCTCACCACGCATGCTGTCGTCCACCCCTACCGCCCCCTCACCTCGTATGCTGTCTTCCACCCCTATCGCCCCGCCCCCTCACCTCGTATGATGTCTTCCACCCCTACCGCCCCCTCACCTCGTATGATGTCTTCCACCCCTATTGCCCCCTCACCACGTATGCTGTCATCCACCCCTTCCATTCCCTCACCTCTTATGCTGTCTTCCACCCCTACCGCCCCTCACCACGTATGCTGTCTTCCACCCGTACCGCCCCCTCACCACGTATGCTGTCGTCCACCCCTACCGCCCCCTCACCACGCATGCTGTCTGTTAGCCTACATCATTTCATTGTCTTAGGTACTCGTAAGCACCCCACTAGGGTGTATACACCCAAGTTTGGGGTTGGGTTCCCAAATTGGTTGGGCTCCCAATTATTGGAACCCCGAATAATCCCAACCAAGATTATTGGACCCGCCAATAATCTTGGGTAGGATTATTGGACCCCCAATAAGTTGGCCAACTCAACTTATTGGGGTCACCAATAATCGTGATCCCCTCCCAACCAAACCACCCCCCCTTCCTACTCCTCACCTATGTATACCCACTCCTTACCTATTACAATCATCACTTCAGTTTCTCACATGGTTCCAGAGCTTATGGCTCACGCCTCTCCGTCGTTCGATCCCTAGCCTCCTCGCGCCCAACGCGCCCCTCCCCGCGCCCTTAAGCGCCCCTCTCCGCGCCCTTCAGCGCCCTTCTCTGCGCCTTTAGGCGCCCCTCCCCGCGCCCTTAAGCGCTGCATTTTCGCGTGGCACTCCTGCCGCATTTCGACGCGGCGCTCCTGCCGCATTTCGACGCGGCGCTCGGCTGCATTTCGACGCAACGCAACTGCCCGCAGCGTCCGGTCGTCACCATCCGCGCCAGCCGTCGCCGCCTTTCGCCTACGGCGACTTAAGAGCTGCGCTCCGTGCACCCGTCTTCTTCCTCCTCCCCCTTCCTCCCTCCCCTCCTCCCCTCCCCCTCTCCCCCCCCCCCTCTCCTCCTCTCATCCTTCCCCACCAACAGCAGCAGCCGCATCCTTCCTCAACCAACCGCAGCAGCCGCATCAGCAACCGCAACCGCACCCTCCACCGGCCTTCACCTCCTCCCCACTCCCCTCATCAGCCGCAGCAGCCACATTTCCCCCCTCCACCTCCCCCTTCTCCCCTTCCTCCCCCCACCAACAGCAACAGCCGCCTCATCTGCAGCAGCCGCACCATCAGCAGCAGCAGCCGCATTTCCCCCCCTCCCCTCCCTCCACCTTCTCCCCTCTCCACTCATCCCCAGCAGCAACAGCAGCAGCACCCGCAATTGCACCATGACCACCGAAGCACTCGTCGTCGACATCTCCACCATCGACGTCCTCGAGCTCATCGACGACGCCGTCCCTGTCAACTGGGCTACCTTTGCCCAGAGCCTTACCAATGCCCTCAGATCCGCAATCATCAACGACTACTGCCTCCTCGACATTCTCCTTGGCACTGACGCAGGGCAGCCCCCCGAACGTCCAGCTGATGTCTCCCCTGCACCTCCCGCTGTAAGAGATAGAGCTGAAAGGATTGATTAGGTAAGGAGCCCAAGGCTCTATAAGTACATGGCAAGGTGAGAGAGAATGGATGAAGGGGGAATCGGAGGGAATCCCCATTGGGATCTTCGGAATCTCCAATCGGGTAATTGGAGATTGGGAAGATCACAATTGGGTGAGGTTGGGATTTGTGAGTACACCCCAATTCACAAAAACATTCATAACCTAATCTATGATATAAAAGTACAAATACAAAAGTGGGATTTGCAATCTATTTCTAACGCACCCCCATAGACTGCAAACCTGGTCAAGGAGCGCATAGCCCCATGGAACGAAAAAGGCGATGGTGGTCAGCCTTGCCGAGAGCCTTGGTAAAAAGGTCGGCGAGGTTGCAATCTGAGGCGATGTATCGTACCGTCAGCTGGTCACTCTGAACAAGATCTCGGATGAAGAAATGACGAAGTTCGATGTGCTTGGTGCGAGAGTGGAACACAGGATCCTTGGTGAGGTGAATGGCGCTCTGGTTGTCACACCACAGGGTGGGCGACTGCTGGGGGTAGCCTAACTCAGCGAGGAGAAAGGAGAGTCAGCGTGCCTCTTGAGCAGCCATTGTGACAGCGTAGAGCTCGGCCTCGCAGGACGACAGGGAGACTGCAGAGGACCGAGTGGAACGCTAGCTGATGACTCCGCTACCAAGGGTGAAGCAGTACCCTTGGGAGAAGCGTCTGTCATTTTGGTCATCGGCCCATGAGGAGTCTGTGTATCCCTCGAGCTTGACTAGAGAGGTACCACCAACCCTCCTTCCGTCCCCGCAGCCGCAGCAGACTCAGCAGCCGCAGTAGATCCAGCAGGCGCAGCAGTCCCAGCAGCAGCTGCAGCAGTCCCAGCAGCAGCCGCAGCAGCTCCTACAGCAGCCGCAGCAGCTCCTGCAGCAGCTCCTCCAACAACTGCAACAGTCTCAGCAGCAGCCCTCCCCTCCCTCCGCCTGGAGCTCCGGCCTCTCTGCTCCTGCTCCTCTTGCGCGGACCTCCTGGCTTTACCCCATTTCCCTCTCCTGGCTTCATCAACCATGTTAGCCACGTATGCTGTCGTCCACCCTTACCGCCCCCTCACCACGTATGCTGTCTTCCACCCCTACCGCCCCCTCACCACGTATGCTGTCGTCCACCCCTACTACCCCCTCACCTCGCATACTGTCATCCACCCCTTCCATTCGCTCACCTCTTATGCTGTCTTCCACCCCTACCGCCCCTCACCACGTATGTTGTCTTCCACCCCTACCGCCCCCTCACCACGTATGCTGTCTTCCACCCCTACCACCCCCTCACCACGTATGTTGTCATCCACCCCTACCGCCCCCTCACCTCGTATGCTGTCTTCCACCCCTACCGCCCCCTCACCACGTATGCTGTCGTCCACCCCTACTACCCCCTCACCTCGCATACTGTCATCCACCCCTTCCATTCGCTCACCTCTTATGCTGTCTTCCACCCCTACCGCCCCTCACCACGTATGTTGTCTTCCACCCCTACCGCCCCCTCACCACGTATGCTGTCTTCCACCCCTACCACCCCCTCACCACGTATGTTGTCATCCACCCCTACCGCCCCCTCACCTCGTATGCTGTCTTCCACCCCTACCGCCCCCTCACCACGTATGCTGTCTTCCACCCCTACCGCCCCCTCACCACGTATGCTGTCGTCCACCCTTACCGCCCCCTCACCACGTATGCTGTCTTCCACCCCTACCGCCCCCTCACCACGTAATGTCCTAGCCTCTCCACCCCTCTCTTGTTCTCCTTCCTACATGTCTGACCTAACCCTTGACATGCTCCATCATTTTGTAGACCTCCGTTGTTTTCCCTTCTTTCTCTCTGCATGGGACAACTAACCCCGTGCTCCCCTTACGTTACGTCTCCTCCTCCAGCATTTCACTTCATTTGATTTCGCTTTCATTTGATTTCAATTCATTGGATTTCGCTTCATTTGATTTCGCTCCATTTGATTCCGCTTTCATTCAATTTCGCTTCTCTTGATTTCGCTTCATTTGATTTCATTTCGTTTGATTTCACTTTCCTTTGATTTCGCTTCATTTGATTTCGCCCCATTGGTTTCGCCCCATTTGGTTTCACCCCATTTGATTTCGGCCCATTTGATTTCCCTTCATTTGATTTCACCCCATTTGATTTCGCTTTCATTTGATTTCGCTTCATTTGATTTCGCTTCATATTTGTGGGGCGTTGGAAACGTTCCCTCCCATCCCATGGCAGCTACTTGGATGACGTCAGCAAGACTCTCAACCTTTCGGCCAATGTGAAAGAGGATTTCGCTCAGATGGCATGGTGGGTGTGTGGCTCAGATGGCATGGTGGGTGTGTGGCTCAAATTGTTGTAAAATATATATCTATACAACATGCATGCCTAGATTAGGAGGTGTAGTCATTATAATTATTGGGGGGTTGTTGGTTGGGTTGACCAACCCCACATTTGGGTTGGTCAAGATTGGATTTGGTCCTAAACATTTGGTTGGCACTATTCCAACCAAATGGTCCTTGGTCCTAGGAACCAACCAATCATCAAGCACCACACTTTGTGGTTGCTTGTCTTCCAAGCAATCTCTCTCATTGGTCCACATTGTGGCCAATCGGAGAGCACCACACTTTGTGGTTGCTTGCCCTACAAGCAACCTCTCCCATTGGTCCACTTTATGGCCAATAGGAGAGCTTCCCTTCCAACTCTTCCTTGCTCCTTGTTTTGTACAAAAGAGCCTCTTGGCTCCCTACTCAATTCAATCTTTTCTCTTCCAAGCTAGTTCCTTCATGGTATTCAGAGCCACAATGGCTCACGCCACCTCCAATCGATCCTAACTAGCACGGCCCTATGCCGTCCCTCCTCGTCATCGAAGCCTAGCCCTTCCTAGGCTACTTCGCGCGCCGTCCGTGCGCCCTCTCCCGACGCGGTCTCCCATCGCGCACGCTCTCTCTCCCGTCGCGCGCCTGCTATCGTGCCCGCTCTCCCTTCCGTTGCGCACCTCCCCTCGCGTCTTTCGACGCCCTTTTCCTCGCGCGGTTCGTCGCCGCGTCCTCCCGTCGTGCGCCCTCCGCCACCGCGCGCACCCGTTCGTCGCGCTCTCACACTAAGCGCCTGTTCGTCGCGGCACCCGCGTGCACCCGCCGACGAATCCGTCCATCGCGAACATGCTCGCCGCCGTAGCCGCCGCCGATTCCGCCGTTACTTTCGGCTGTCCGTCGCCGATTTCCCCGCCGTCGCGTGCGGCTGTCCGTCGTCGCTTCCGCCGACCGCGCGCGGCCATCCGTCGCCGCATCCCCCCTTGGAGCCCCCACCTCCCACCTTGGTGCCGATTCCAGCTTCTCTATTCCCTGTCGCCACACCTCTACCCTCCCCTGTCCCCTCTTCCCCTCAGGTACCGTTACTGGTTTACACATCCCCTCCCTCCGTACTAACCTCCTCTCCCAGCGATCCCTGCAACAGGCTGGTATCACCACCCTCTTCCTAGGTCGCACTAATCACTGCCTCCTATACCATCCCACAGGTCGCCTCCTCTCCCGTATTCCCTTTTGTCCTCGCTCCCGCCTATATACCCTTCGAGTTCCTCGTCTTCCCTCTGCCCAGGCAGTCTCCCGCTCCCTCCCCCCACCTCACATCCCTCCCCCTCCTCTCCCTCCTTCTAACCCAACCATTCCCCCCCTCCCCCCTGACCCAACCTGCTCCTGTCGATCCCTCTCCCATCCCACCGTCCTCCTCCACCACAGGCTTGGTCACCCCAACTTTGCCACCCTCCGCTCGACCCTCTCCTCAGATCTCCTTCGAGGTCTTCCCCTCACCCTCCCTCCCCTCCCTCCCTCCCCTCCCTCCCTCCCTTGCCCCACCCTGCTCCGTCTTTGTCCAGAGCAAGCTCAAGCAGCTGCCGCATCGGAGTTCCCCCTCCGCTGCTGCTCAGCCGCTTGATCTTGTTCACATGGACCTCTGGGGCCCCAACCCCTCCCCTTCCCGCCAAGGCCATCGCTACATGCTTGTTCTGGTCGATGATCACAGCCGATATTCGTCCGTCTCCCTTCTTCGCTCGAAGGGTGACGCTCCGGCTGCGATCATCGCCTGGCTCAAGCAGGCGAGCACCCACTTTGGCCACCCTGTGCGCCGCCTTCACTCTGATGGCGATGGCGAATTCCTTAATCGTCAGGTAGCCTCCTATTGTGAGCTCCATGGCATTCGCCAGACTCACACCCTCCCCCACTCCCCCCAGCAGAATGGTGTGGCCGAGAGCCGTGTTTGGGAGATCACCAAGATTGCTCGGTGTCTCCTCGTCCATGCCCCTTGCCCCCCTTCTCTGTGGGGCTATGCCCTCCTTCACGCCACCCTCCTTACTAACCTGTACCCCCACCCTATCCTTCCCTCCACCACTCCCACCGAGCTCTGGACGTCGGCAAAGCCTGACGTCTCCTCCCTCCGTGTGTGGGGCTCCAGGGCGTATGTCCTCATTCACCCTGCGGACCGCCCCCGCACCATGGGAAAGCTCGCCTCCCGTACCCCCCCCTGCATCTTCCTTGGTCATAATCCCTCCTCCCCGGACTACCTCTTCCTTCACCCCCCCTCAGCTCGTTTCCTCCGCAGTCGGGATGTAGTCTTTGATGAGTCCACACCCTACTATTCCACTCCTCCCCCCACTGACCCTCTCGCCCCTGCTCCCAGGCCCCTCACCTGGTCCGACACTATCCCACCCCCTCTTCTCCCTCCCCCTCCCATCCTCCCCCCCGCTCCACCTCCTCCATTCCCCGCTGCCTCGGTCCCTAGTGCTCCCCCCTCCTCTGGTGACATATTTGACCCTGACCCTTTTTTCCCCCCCGCCTCCCCGTCCCACTCCTCCCCCTCCGCTCCCTCCCATCCTCCCCCCTCCCCTCCTCCCCCTCTCCCCCGCGACCCCCTCCCCCCCTGCGTCCCACCCGCTCCATCCTCACCCGGTATCCCCACACCAGGTCGCGTGACGCAGTCCTAGGTGCCCCGCCTCCTGTTATCCTCTCTTCCTCTACCTTGCCTCCTCTCTCCCCTCTCATGGACCTCCTTTTTCAGACAGTCTTACAACAAAACACTAGCCCAACCCTGCCGTCGAGCTCCAGTACAGCAGTCCCAGCAGCAGCAGCAACAGCTGCAGCAGCAGTTCCACCCACCGCAGCAGCACCAGCAGCAGCAGCCGTCGCTCCTTCCTCGCCTTCACCCGCAGCAGCAGCAGCGACGGCAGCAGATGCAGCAGCAGATGCATCCTCAGCAGCAGCAGCCGCAGCAGTTGCAGTCCTCCCATTCATTTTCCACTCCTCCCTCCTCGAGGACTCCCATGAGGAGTTCCTCAACCTCCACCTGCATGATCCAGCCCTCCTACCCATCTCCCCTGACCTCAGCTGCACACCAGTCTTCGCCTTCTCCTCCGCCCCCACCATCTTCGTCCCCGCCACATACGAGGAGGCCATGGCGTGCCCTGACGCTCACCTCTGGCTTGCGGCCATCCTCAAAGAGTTGGAGGCGTTTATTGCCAACTCCTCCTTTGTGGATGTGCCCCGCCCTCCCTCTACCACGAACGTGGTCAAAGGGAAGTGGGTGTTTCGAGTGAAGCAGCTTCCTGGCGAGCCGCCGGTCTACAAGGCCCGCTACGTCGCCAAGGGCTTCACCCAGCGCTACGCTGTCGACTTCTTCGACACCTTCTCTCCCACCGCCAAGCCCGCTACCATTCGCGCAGTCCTCGACCTCGCAGCTCGCCTCAACATGGAGATTCACTCCATGGACGTCTCCAACGCGTTCCTCCAAGGGGTCTTGCGCGAGCTCATTTACATGGAGCGTCCTGCAGGCTTCCACCTCCCCTTTCCTTCCGACTCTGTCCAGCAACTACGTCGACCAGTCTATGGGCTCAAGCAGGCACCAAGGGAGTGGCATGCCAAGCTTGCTGCCACCCTCGCCGAGCTTGGCTTCAGCACCTCCCGCGCTGACCCCAGCCTCTTCCTCCGCACCTCCCCCTCCCCTTCTACTTCCTCGTCTATGTCGACGATATGATCCTCATCACTGCCGACTCCGCCGAGCTCGAGCGCGTCAAGCGTGAGCTTGGCGGCCGGCTCAAGTGTAAGGATCTAGGGGAGCTGCAGCACTATCTCGGCATGGAGATTACCCGCGACCGTGCTGCTCGCACCATCTCCCTCTCCCAGGGCCACTACCTGCAGCAGGTCGTGGAGCGGTTCGACATGGCTCGAGGCACCCCTCAGGTCACCCCTCTTCCTGTTGGGCACCACCTAACTCCCCTCACCTCCCCCTCCTCCTCCTCTCACCCCTACGCTGAGCTCATCGGCTCTCTCATGTATGCCATGGTCTCCACCCGCCCTGACCTGGCATACCCCATCAGCGTTTTGGCCCGCTTCGTTGGTACCGGCAAGCATGATGCCGCCCATTGGCAAGCGGCAAAGCGTGTCCTCCGCTACCTTCGGGGGACCAAGGACTACGTCCTTACCTTTGGCGGCCCCTCCCCTCCCCTCCTCACTGGCTACTCTGATTCCTCCTGGGCTGACTCTAGGCCTGACCGCCGCTCCTCTCAGGGCTATGGCTTCTCTCTTGGCAGCGGCCTCATTAGCTGGCGCTCCACCTGCTCCTCCTCCATTGCCCTCTCCTCTTGCGAAGCAGAGCTGTATGCCGCTACCATGGCTGCGCAGGAGGCCCGCTGGCTTTCCTTCCTTCTTGAGGAGCTTGGTGCTCCTCAGCGCTGTCCCACCATCTGGTGCGACAACGTCATCACCATCCACCTCACGAAGGATGCTGTGTTCCACGGGCGCTCCAAGCACATTGAGCTTCGCCACTACTTCATTCGCGAGCTTGTGCAGGGTGGCCACCTCCAGTTGGGCAAGATTGACTCTGCTGCCAATCTTGCCGACATCTTCACTAAAGCCCTCCCCCACGCCGCCCACTCATCCCTCCTTCGCCTCCTTGGACTCGCTCCCCCCGTTCCCTCGTCCACCTCCTGATTCAAGCCCTCTAGTCTTATGCATGTTGGGGGGTTGTGTTGTAAAATATATATCTATACAACATGCATGCCTAGATTAGGAGGTGTAGTCATTATAATTATTGGGGGGTTGTTGGTTGGGTTGACCTGCCCCACGTTTGGGTTGGTCAAGATTGGATTTGGTCCTAGACATTTGGTTGGCACTATTCCAACCAAATGGTCCTTGGTCCTAGGAACCAACCAATCACCAAGCACCACACTTTGTGGTTGCTTGCCTTCCAAGCAATCTCTCTCATTGGTCCACATTGTGGCCAATCGGAGAGCACCACACTTTGTGGTTGCTTGCCCTACAAGCAACTTCTCCCATTGGTCCACTTTATGGCCAATAGGAGAGCTTCCCTTCCAACTCTTCCTTGCTCTTTGTTTTGTACAAAAGAGCTTCTTGGCTCCCTACTCAATCAATCTTTTCTCTTCCAAGCTAGTTCCTTCACAGATGGCATGGTGGGTGTGTGGCTCAGATGGCATTGTGGGTGTGTGGCTGAGATGGCATGGTGGGTGTGTGGCTCAGATGGCATGGTGGGTGTGTGGCTCAGATGGCATGGTGGGTGTGTGGCTCAGATGGCATTGTGGGTGTGTGGCTCAGATGGCATGGTGGGTGTGTGGCTCAGATGGCATTGTGGGTGTGGCTCGCTGTGCTTCCGTGCATGCCTGCACGCATCTCATCATTGACTTTGCGACCGCACCGACTCGAACACTGTCATTCTGTCTGCGATGCTTTTGAGTCGAGTCAAAAGCACGGTAGTAAGAGCTTCAATCAGCGTATCCGTGTTTCCTCCCTTAATCTGATGCCGCTCATGGTCTATCCATCCTCACCCTCCCTTCAGGTCCATGCTGAATGACTCGTTCAAAACAGGCACCCGCCCTTTCTCATTGCCATCACATGCATGCACCTCGTGGCCGTCATCTCTCCGTCATGCGCCCATCCGTCCCCCCTGCAGGTCCATGCTCAACGACTCCCTCAAAACAGACCTCTCACTCTGCCACCTCTTTTTCCTCGTTGCCATCGCCGGCATGCACCTCGTGGCTATCATTCCCATATCCCTCCTTCATGCGGCCATCCCTCCGCCATGCGCCCATCCTTCCGTCATGCGCCCATCCGTTCCCCCCTTCAGGTCCATGCTCAACGACTCCCTCAAAACGGATCTGTCATTGTGCCACCCGCCCTTCCTCATCGCCATCGCCTGCATGCACCTCGTGGCCGTCATGCGCCACGTGGACCTCAACCCGTGGCTCGAGGGGCTCCGAATCGACATGCACCAGGTGTGAGGGAGATGCACCATGTGCGAGTCGAGCCATAGTGTGTGTATGTATATCCACATCAACCCCTCGTGCACCCCGTCATGCGCCATGTGGACCTCAACCCATGGCCGGAGGGGCTCAGAAGCGGCATGCACCAGGTACTGTACAGTCAAGAGCAGACGGGGCAAGGGGATGATGGGCGTTGGTGGAGGGCCGTCATGTGCCGCGTGGACCTCATCCCCTGGCTGGCTGGAAGGCCTCCAAACCGTATCGACATGCACCCGGTACGGTCAAGCCGCAGTGTGCGCGCCTCAACCGTTAACCTCTCATGCGCCATGTGCCCTTTCACCATGAAGCCGCGGCTGGAGGGGCTCAGGATCGACATGTCACATGCACCAGGCACAGTCAGAGCAGCATGTGCCAGGGGGTGGTGGGCATCGGTGGAGGGCCGTCATGCGCCACGTGGACCTTACCCCGTGGATGTAAGGGTTGCAGAATCGCAGCACTGGGTGCGCGCCGCGCCGAGGCACGCCCTGTTTTATTTCTTCTCCTAATAGGTTCTCCTTTTTCTAGTACATGCTCCTTTTCTAATGTTAGCTCCTTTTCTAATATGCGCTCCCCTGGTATTTGCTCCTTTCCCACTATCCATTCCCCCTCCCTCACCACTCGTTCCTCGTCTGCCCCTCCCCTCATCTCCCCGTCCCCTCACCCCCACCTCCCCAGGTGAGGGCAGTGTCCTCCTCGCTCCTGGACCTCTACGAGAACTTCTCATCGCTCTCAGAGGATCAAATCTCAGCTGCCGTTGGGAAACTGCCCATGCGCCTGCCCTAGTGCAGCGGAAGTTGAGTAGTTGAACCCTTGTACTAGTATATGAGAACAAGTGATTGATTAAAGTGAACAAGCATACAGCAATATATAGAAAGTAGAAAACAAGCAGTTGTAGAATACAGTTGAATGGCGGTTAATCGAGTCGCACAGCGACTCGATTGTCGCTTCGGTTACCATTCTTGCAGTTGTAACGATCAGTCGCAACCTCCGGTTGCGACCCTTTGAGTCCTTTCGTGTTCTTTGTCCACCCCCTCGTGTAACCTCCGTTGACTCGCGTACTCGTTACGATCTTCCTCGAGTGTGATGTTTCACTTCAGAAACGCTCAAGTCCTTGAGATATTTCCAACACCATCACTGGACTAGCTGCCGTTGGGAAATTGCCCATGCGCCTGCCCTAGTTGCCCGTGCACCTGCCCTGATACCTTCTGCGCCTTTCCTCGTTGGCCGTGCGCGTTCCCTAGCGCCCATGCATGAGCCTGCCGCTAACTGCAGAGAGTCATTGCCCCGCGGACGTATGACACGACTGCTGCTGTGGTGGAAACGTGCCATCCATTGCCTACGATTGCGTATGTTGATTTTGAACTCATGTCAATTCTATCTTCCCAGTGTACATATGCTAATAAAATTTAGCGCTTACAATATGAGACAAGAAGCAAAATTATGGATGCGCCAATCAGATTGACGCCACGCTTGGAGCAATTCCTTGGATGCTTCTACGCATCGGCCAGAGACAGTTTGGACGGTACCGTATTTACCCAGCTAAAAGACCCAAGGGTTTTATCCTGTCCCTGTGTTTTTTTTTTTGGGGTGTGTCTTTTAAAGCGAGAAGTTATAATTGTGAAGGCTGGCCCAACTTGAAAGAGGGCTCCCTCTGAGCGACTCAAGTTGGAAACCAGCTTCAACAAATAACTGTTCCAAAATGGCAAGGGTAGGCAGATCGGAATTTCAGCTCAAAGCTGATTGGGTCCCGCCAAAATGTTGATCGCAGGGCGAAATGCGCGACACGCAAATCTGAAAACGAATCCTTGTCAGGGGTCGCACTTCTCGATGCGACACTTGCACGGCGAGTGCAAGCAACGAGTTGGGGCTCTCGGATCGAGATGGGCCCAACTCATTTTTCAAGTTGGGCCTGTGTTCACAATTGCCGAGGATTCACCACCTTCCCCACGCAAAGCGACATCCAGCTAGCAAAAAATCGCCGAGAAAGCAAGCTAGTTCCGCTAGCTGCCCCACCGCATAGAAACTTGGTGCCGATAGAGCTGTGAGAGAGAGTGTGGCGCTGCGGGAGAGATAGAGAGGGAGAGACGCGGGGAGAGAGGGAGAGACGCGGCGAGAAAGGGTGAGACGCGGCGATAGAGAGATAGAGAGACGCGGGGAGAGGGAGAAACGCGGGCGAGAGAGGGAGAGAGAGGGAGACGCGGCATGAGCGGAAGAGACGAGGAAGCGGGGAGAGAGGGAGAAATGCGGCGAGGGAAGGAGAGACGTGGGCGAGATACGGAGAAACGCGGGCGAAATACGGAGAAACGCGGGCGAGAGAGGGAGAGAAAGGGAGACGCGGCGTGAGCGGGAGAGATGAGGCCAGAGATGGAGAGACGTGGCGAGAGAGGGAGAGACGCGGGGAGAAAGGGTGAGACGCGGCGATAGAGAGAGAGACTCGGGGAGAGAGGGAGAAACGCGGCGAGAGAGGGAGAGACGTGGGCGAGAGAGGGAGAAACGCGGGCGAGATACGGAGAAACGCGGGCGAGATACGGAGAAACACGGGCGAGAGAGGGAGAGAGAGGGAGACGTGGCGTCAGCGGGAGAGACGAGGCCAGAGATGGAGAGACGCGGGAAGAAAGGGTGAGAAGCAGCGATAGAGAGAGAGACGCGGGCGAGATAGGGAGAAACGCGGGCGAGAGAGAGAGAGACGCGGGCGAGATACGGAGAAACACGGGCGAGAGAGGGAGAGAGAGGGAGACGTGGCGTCAGCGGGAGAGACGAGGCCAGAGATGGAGAGACGCGGAGAGAAAGGGTGAGACGCAGCGATAGAGAGAGAGACGCGGGCGAGATAGGGAGAAACGCGGGCGAGAGAGAGAGAGACGCGGGGAGAAAGGGTGAGACGCAGCGATAGAGAGAGAGACGCGGGCGAGATAGGGAGAAACGCGGACGAGAGAGGGAGAGACGCGGGGAGAAAGGGTGAGAGACGCGGTGAGAGAGAGAGAGAGAGAGAGAGAGAGAGAGAGAGAGAGAGAGAGAGAGAGAGAGAGAGAGAGAGAGAGAGAGAGAGAGAGAGAGAGGCATCGTTAGCGGTAGAGGCGCGGTGAGAGAGTGGGGGAGTGACGCGGCGTGGAAGAGAGTGGCGCGGTTAGAAGGAGAGAGGCGGAGGTGAGAATAGGGAGAGAGTGGCGCAGCGGGAGAGAGAGAGAGAGAGAGAGAGAGAGAGAGAGAGAGAGAGAGAGGAGGAGGAGCGAGCGTCTCGCCATGCCACTCCCTTCCCGCTGCGCCACACTCGCTCGCCCCTCGCTCCCGCCATATCTCCCTCTCTCCACACCTCTCGCGCGTATCTGTCCCCACTCATGTATGATCACATGCCCTCGATTTTTGCATTCGCTCGCTCACTCTCTCTTTCTCAGATATCTTGCACTCAGTCTTCGGTGAAATGTTTCGCTTTGCAGGGCTTGGAAGTGACATCTGACGAGGAAGGGTGTGCCTTGGCTTCCAAAATTTAGATCCCCAGCTAGTTTTGCCGCAGCGTAGCGAGTGATTGTGTTATGCGACAATCAGGCAAAATGTCAGTTGGTAATCTTTTCGCCAAGGATCGGCCATGTAAGAATTGTCGGGGAAAAAAAAAACACGCCTCCCAAGGTTCCAACCAATACACTCTTGATCCGAACCATTTCGAGTTGGGTCCAACTCGAAGTGGGGGTCATTATTATAGCTTCTCGCTTTAATCGGAGGCAAATACATAAGACCCAGGGTCTATGTTATACTCATGAATTATAACAACCCAGGTAGAAGAATGTTATAGCAGCCCCCTGAGTCCGCCTCTGAGACTGGGAGGCAGGCCTCTGGATAGGATTAGGAGTACTCTTTCTTGTAAGGGTACTTGCTTGCTGCCACTTTTTCTGTAAGGGTATTTTTTAAAGCTACTTTGTAAAATAAGGGTCCTAAATATTTGTACTTTTTCACATAAGGGTATAACTCTAGCGCAGCCTTACACTTTACTGTAGTTACAGGATCTCGCGTGATCAGACGACTGACGTGTTGCAGATCAGGCCTGTCGTTATCAGGGTATTTTACCCTGATTCCCTGATTTCACATGGTATTTTTTTTGTCAACCCTTAATTTTCAGGGTTGGGCTTTTTTGAACCCTAACCTCTTCAGGGTTGTATGTCTGTGAACACTGAGAATTTCAGGGTTTGCGTTATCCCAACACTGAGTTTTCAGGGAGTAACGCATACGAACCCTAAGTGCGACATCCATGTGGCTCACAATGCGGAAATTTAGGCGAAGTCCCCAATCTCCATAGACATTCCCCCCCACACGCAACAACCTACAAAAATTGGTGAAGTCCTCAAACATTCCCTCACACACCAAGCAACCCACAAAAATTGGCTAAGTCATGTGTCGTACAGACATCCCCCTTACACACCTAACAACAACCCACAAAAATTAGCTAAGTCTTGATAGGCAGTGACAGCACAAAAAAAAAACGGCTTGTACACAAGTTATCCCCCCTCCCACACTCCCACTACCCATAAAAAAGGCTAACGGTCAAGTCATAGAAGGGTACTAGCGACAATGCTCCCTTCTTAAGGAAAGTTTTTTTATTGCCCGTGTGGTCAACTGAAAGTCCATCAAACTTTGACAGCCACGATCAATCGCGATCGTTTCGACAAATTTCAGCCGTTAGATGATCGCGTGTGATTAACGTCCTCGATTTGCCCATGGCGCTGCAAGCGTGAGAGGTTTCTGCCACTGCCCCATTCGCCTCAATCCCCACCCCACCTCTCCCTCAGTTTCGCTTCCCCTCTCCCCTCTGTTTCGATTCCCCCTTCCCCTCCGTTTCGCTTCTCCCATTCCTCTCTACTGTATTTCGAAACCCCCCCCCTCCCCCCACTTTTTCCCTCCCCGTTTCGCTTCCTCTCTTCCCCTATGTTTCCATCCTCCCCCTTCCCCTCCGTTTCGCTCTTCCCCTCCCCTCGGTTTCATTCCCTCCCCCTTTTCCCCCCATATTTTATTCCCCCCTCGTGTTGAAGGCAACCCTGAATGCGTTCGGTGAACCCTGGGATTTTCAGGGTTCTTGATTTCTGAACACTTACAAATCAGGGTAGGCAAATTTTGAACACTGAGCCCTCAGGGTAAAAATGTTTTTTTAGTCGATAGCTCAGGGGGGGTTTTTTTGAAACGTCAGGCCTGTTGCAGATATGTGACGACGTGCCTTGGGTGGCACTCGACAGGGTGCACCAAGATTTTTGTTTTTGTTTGTTAGCGCTGAAGTGGAGGGAATGTCGCACCTCGGTAATTTTGCTGTTAGTGCGTATTTCTACATTAGTGCGTTCAGTACCAGGGAACCTAACTTCGCGAAGTACCAAATCGAACCGAACAGGAATTCTCGTTTTGACCCTCGGACCTCACTGTTTCGCGTTTCAGAGTCCATTCCGGATTTGCTGGTACTGATTACTGTCTTGTAGAAACACGACCTCATTCCCTAGACCCTTCCTGGTCGCGACCTCATTTCCCGTTGGTGCCCCACTCGGTTTTGTTTTTTCCTTTTCTTTTTTTTGTTCTTTCATTTCTTTAGCTAATGTAGTGGCGGATACGACTCTACCAACACGAATTATACATTCAAGACGGCAGGTTTTGTAACCGTGCGCATGAATTCTTGGGTGAGTGGCAGCCAAAAAAACGCAAACCATTAGCAGAAGAAATTGACGACTTGAATCCCCGTCGTGCGCGGGCAGGGGCCAGGTAAAAACCCGTGGAAACTTCAATTCAAGTCGCCGAGATTCCCTCGCCGAAGTGGGTAGGGGGGAAGAGAAAATTTGACATATCACGTCCAGGGCTTTCTTTTCGTTTCAGGCTACCCTGTAATTTCAAAGTAGTTATTCCCCCGAGTCTGACTGGAACACACTTGGAACTGGGGGACTTAGCCGAATCCTCCGGGTTGCGAAGGTACTACAGCGGCTTTGTCTCTGCGAGTTGGGGACAACCAATTTTTTGGGGTCGCTCGAGGGCTGTGGGAGGAATGCCTTTAGCAGTGGGGGACTTAGCCGAAATCTTGGGTTGCG